AAACTGAGACCCTGGGGTGGGTAAGAAGATTGCAAGACACAGTGAGGCTGACCTAGCTGTGGACCTGGATCCCTCTCACCCCTAACACTTCCCCCTGTGCTTAGAGATTCTTATTTACTGCCCCATTATCACTCCATCCCCATCCACGAAAGTAAACTGGGTTTATGCAAGATTAAGACCATTTATTCCACACACTGAATCTGTTAGAGTTTTGAGTTGTTTTGGTTTCATGGCAACCATGTAAGGGAGGGATGTTTGTCCCATTTTAGAGGACATTTTCATTTTACAGTTCATGTTCCTGTTCTTTAACTCTTCTGCTTTCTAGAGGTATATTTTGTCATCAGATTAGGTGCACTTTTGAAATGCACAAGTGACAGCCCACAGCAAATTAAAAGCCTCACAGACTAGGGAGCTGTGCCTTGAGGCCTGAGAAATTGCCCTGGAGGCTGAACTGGTTGAAAAGACAACCTTGAAGTCACTCATTCCCCAGCTAATAATAACATGGCCTGTCAGACCTCACAAGCAGGTCACGAGGCCATCTCTGTCCCTCAACAGGCTGTCACCCAAGACTAGCTTGGTCCCTGTTGGAGGAAGCAGCACGATCTGTACATGTACAGTCCCTGCCCTTTCTTCTCCAGCCTTGGCCTGGCTATGCCTTTGTGAGGTCCAGGCAGCAACAGATATAAAGAGCAAATCAGTCTTCTTGTGCCTGCTTCCTGTCCTTCCAGAGAGAAGGGAGCAGGAGTCAGCCTCACCTCCATGAGCTGCCTTGGAAGAAAACCTTGTGCTGTCTCTGGAGAAGGTGGTACTGAGAATAACCTCCCTGCTTTGTCCTTTGCCGTGGCTCAGAGGCCAAGCATGTGCTTGTGCTATTTTTAGCAGATGGCAGCCTTCAGGAGGGCCAAGTGCATGTGGCTGCCATGTATGGGACAGGCCCTGGTGTCTGCTGAAGCTACTGCTGCCTCCTCAGGGAAGGATGAGGATAAAGCCACCTTAGAGACTGTCGTGGTGTGTGGAAGGAGAAGCTGGGGCTGCCGTTTGCAATCTGGATCTGTGGTCGGGGCCAATCCCTGCCTCCTAGGCCAGGTGGGCACATGACGGAGGTAGCACAGTGGGCTGGGAAACTAAGGGTCAGGGCTGCTGCCCCAGGGAATGGAATGAGGACCTCTTTTGGGCCAGCAGCCAATTTCTCAGGAAACCACATAACCCCATTTTTCTTGTGAAGTTGCCCAACCTAAAGGCTGACAACTGAATGGACACCAAGAACTCAAGCTATGGGTTGACTGGCAGTCTGATTACTGATGTCCTCTGGCTTAAACTGAAATACAAACACAAGAGGAGGCAAAACCACAGCTGCTTGTTGGAATTCTTTGCCAGGAAGCCATTGAGGCTGAAGAAGGCTGAGAAAGTTTGACAAACAAGTTTGCCTGATGTCGGCGCTGTCCTTTCTTTCATGGTCCCTCCTTCTCTCGAACTTGGAACTGCCAACTCCAGCCCATCTATCTGTTTCTGATTAAGAAAGCTTCAAGCCATATAAGGCCCTCTGTTGCCTATGGTTTATGTTGGCTGGAGAGCAAGGTTGTTTTCGCAAAGTCTGATTCAAAGAATTGGCAAGAGTATGCGTGAGTGTGTGTGTGTGTGTGTGTGTGTGTGTGTGTGTCTGTCCCTCCCTGCCTCCTGGGCTGGACTGCCTTGCTGGAAAAGACTCATTTAAGGATGAGGGGGTGAGGGTAGGTCCAGCAATGGCTGCCAAGTGTGAATGTAAACAAACCTGTGGAGTATACTGTCATATTCCCAGCCTCCCAGGCTTTCTGCTTCTGGAATAGACTAGGGAAGCAGCTTCTGTTTGAAGTAGAAACCAAGCCCCTTAGCTCTTTGGGCAGTGGGACTCCCCTCTGGAGGACGTCCGGTGAACCTAGTTCTCCCCGGGTTTTTGCAATCCTGATCTACCATTAGCACTGCTGCTGCCTGTGATGCTGGGGTGCCATGTGTCTGCTGCAGTGCTCCGACCTCATTTTGGCCTCCCCTTTTTGCTGTCTCTTGAGTCAGCCAAGCATGGTCCTGTCGTAAGACTTTGGCACATGTGTTCTACACTCCCCCTAGACCTGGAGCTTTCTCCTCCTCCCCCCCAGATCATGGCACAGCTCCTCACTGCCTGGCTCTGGTGCCATCTCTTCTGAGCGCATTCCCTCACCATCCTGTCTCAGGCTTCCTTCCCAAACACTCTGCCCAGCCTTTCTCATCTAAACCAGCACACACAGCAAAGGCCTGTTTCTCAGCCCTGGTTACTCTACTTCTGCATGCACAGGAGCACACTTAATTCATCACAGGCAGGTGACACCTTAGGACTTGTCTCCCAAATAGTTGAGAAGTTGCAGGTCAATTTCATTAAGTTGCTAGATCTTTGCAGTCTCTTATTATCTGCAGTTTGACTCCTCGCCCTCCACCATTGCTTCCCACAGTGCATGGTTTTTAAAATCTTTATTCAGTGACCAGCTGGAGGGTCCTGCTACCTGAAGCTGTCTTGCTCTCTGTAAGGTGAGGAGACCATGGTCTTGGTTTCCAAAGGGTCTATCAATATACATGTTGTTTTTGGTGATTGCTATTGCATCAGCATTGCAGTTGGGGGTATCTGATGCAAAGTTGTCTTTGATTATTAAGGGGAAATAAACCACTATCAGTTTTTAAACAGATAAACTGATACTAATGCATATTATTATGATGGTTAACAAAAAACACACAAAACTGGATAGGAATAGACCATCAATTGCTACTTGGTATTGCTTAAGAATTAATTTTCAAAGATTTATTTTATTTATTTGAAAGAGGGAGAGACAGGGCTCTTCCATCTCCTGGTTCACTCCCTCAGATGGCTGCAACAATCAGGACTGAGCCAAACCAAAGCCAGGAGCTTCATGTAGGTCTCATGTGGGTGGCAGGGGCCCAAGCACTTGGGCCATCTTCCTCTGCTTTTCCCAGGCCATTAGCAGGGAGCTGGATCAGAAGTAGAGCAGCCAGGACAAGAACCAGCACCCATATGGAATGCCGGCATCCCAGGCTGTGGCTTTAACTTTTACGCCACAATGCTGGCCCCCTACTACTACTACTACTACTACTACTTCTTCTTCTTCTTCTTCTTCTTTTTTTTTTTTTTTTTGTTAAAGATTTTATTTATTTATTTGAGAGGTAGAGTAACAGAGAGAGGAAGAGACAAAGGTCTTGCATCCCCTGGTTTACTCCTCAAATGACCACAGCTGCTGGAGCTGAGCTGATCTGAAGCCAGGAGCTGGAGCCTCTTCTGGGCTTCCCACGTGGGTGCAGGGGCCCAAGGACTTGGGCCATCTTCTACTGCTTTCCCAGGCCATAGCAGAGAGCTTCATTAGAAGAGGAGCAGCCACAACTTGAATGTAAGGGATGCTGCTGCCGCACATATAGGCTTAGCATACTAAGCCACAGTGTTGGTGCTGGCCCTCTACTTCTGATTTTGGGCAAGGTTTGAGAGGAGAGACTTCAGCCTTGAGTACACTGCTTTCCCCATACTGTTCCCTTTCAGCCACAGCTGCCCTCAGTCCTTCCAGCTGCTCTCCATGCCACTCACATCTGTTTTTAAATAGTCTACTTTCTCTTTAAAATAATAGGGGCTGGCATTGTGGTGTAGCAGGTAAAGCCACCACCTGCGATGCTGGCATCCCATGTAGGTGCCAGTTCAAGTCCCAGCTGCTTCACTCCTGATTCAGCTCCCAGCAAATGGCCTGGGAAAGCAATGGAGGATGACTGAAGTCATTGTCCCCTATCACCCAAGTGGGAGACCTGGAAGAAGTTCCTGGCTTTGGCCTGGCCCAGTTCTGGCTGTTGTGGTCATTTGGGCATTTGAGGAGTGAACCAGTGAACAGAAGATCTGTCTCCTTTTCTTTCTGCACTCTGCCTTTCAAATAAATGAATAAATCTTTGTTTAAGATTTTTTTAAAATTTATTTGAAAGAGTTACAGAGAGAGAAGAGGAGAGACAGAGAGAGAGGTCTTCCACCCGTTGGTTCACTCACCAGATGGCCGTAATGGCCAGAGCTGCGCCGATCCGGAGCCAGGAGCTTCCTCCGGGTCTCCCACACAGGTGCAGGGGCCCAAGGACCTGGGCCATCTTCCACTGCTATCCCAGGCCACAGCAGAGAGCTGGATCGGAAGAGGAGCAGCCGGTCTAAAACCGGCGCCTGTTTGGGATCTTAAAAAAGAAATATTAGCTGATCTGTTTTCCTACTAAGGGAACTGGAGACTTTGCTCATTCCTATACTTTTTCCTTTCTTCATCTTCCCAGGGTAGAGGTAATATGAATTTTGGTCAAATTGTTATTTAGAGTTTGAGAGCACATTATTATAATATAAGCATTGTTTATGCCTGCAAAGTTCTTAGTTTTCCATGTTTCTGTACATGTCGTTGGTCTTCCTTCCATTGGTTCACCCCTCCAAATGGCTGCTACGGCCGGCACACTGTGCCAATCCGAAGCCAGGAGCCAGGTGCCTCCTCCTGGTCTCCCATGCAGGTATAGGGTTCAAGCACCTTGGCCATCCTCCACTGCCTTCCTGGGCCACAGCAGAGAGCTGGACTGGAAGAGGAGCAACTGGGACAGAATCCGGCACCTCAACCAGGACTAGAACCTGGGGTGCTGGCACCGCAGGCGGAGGATTAGCCTAGTGAGCCACGGCGCCGGCCAGAGCTCCTAGTTCTGGTCTGTTTTCCATCTTGGATATAGAGGGCCTCACTGAGCAGGTCTTTCCCACACGCATTGGGTTAAGCCTCCACTTGCCTTAGGTAAAGTGGGCTGAGAAAGTGTCCTATGACTTTCTGATAGCTGCTCTACCTGGAAGGGCGGGAGCTCCACCAGGGCCTTGCTGGCTGCCCACTGTAGCTTACCTACTACTCTGTGAGGCTCTCACAATGGAGGGTGTGGAGAGGTCTTGGGTAGGACCTCACAGTCCTACTGTGAGCTAATATGGAATCTTCAGGATGCCCTCTTGAGTCACCACTCAGGCCCCCAACGATGAAGGTAACACCAGGGCTGGGCTGAGGACAACATACCTGAGGCATGGCTCCAGCGCTCTGATTCCTGGCCCCAGCCATGCTGCTGAGGGCAAGTGGCCCAAGCTTACCATCGCCCTCCACCCTCAGTGGCCAGCCTGAGCACTGCCCAGCAAGGTAGGCATTGGTCATGGCACCATTTATCTAATCCTCATATTGCTGGGGTCTTCTAGGCAGACCCTCTCGAAATGCCTTATACTGTTCAATAGGGAGCTGCCAACTGTGGGTAGTGATTTAGATTAACAGTGAAGTTAGAAGTTGAGTTCCTCCATCATACTTTTCACATTTTGCTGCTCAGTGACTTACCCACTGTGACTGTGACTAAGTGACTGCCAATATTGGACAGTAGTTACTTCTTAGGAATCCCCAGGCCTTTGCCTCTGGTGACCTGTTCCACTATGGCCATGTCGCAAGATTCCCATTGACTTGGATGGAGAGGTTAAACTTCTTTTGTATGAGTCCTTACTGGCTCACTGGCTCTACTCTGCCTCTCCTTTTCTTTCCCAACAGCACTAGAACTTTAATTTGTGCCATTTCCCCTCCCCACTGTTTGTACCCTATGGAAACTCTGGCCCTCCTGAAAGGAGCCTTTCTGGCCTCTCTGCCTGCTTCTCAGCTTGGCTTCTTGTGATGCAGAAGTGAGTGTGAATGAGTGAGTGAGACGGGTTCTTCCTCAGGACGGTGAGCTTCCAGTAGCAACTTATGCTTGTTTGAATGTGTGAGTACTGATAAGGAATATGGCAGACAAATCATATACAAACCAAGAGGCACTCATGAGGTGTGATCTTCTCCTCCAAATGCCTGTGAGGGGAGTCACCTTGGCCTGGCCTGCAGCCAGAGTCCCTGCTCTTAGGGATTCCCTGCAAGGGGAAGAGTCCCTTGGCAAAAACTTGCTGTGCAGAGCACTGGGGAGGTGGAGCATCCAGGACAGATGTATTCTGGTTAATGACCCCAGGGATGATTTTTGGCAGTGTAGACACTGGCATATTAGAAGAAATATTCAAATTCCAATTTGGAGAATGTGTAAATGTCCATTCAGAACACACTGTGAATGTGGCTGCACTATCCAGACTCAAGTCCAGAGTGGACTTGTTGGACTCTTGGCTCAAAGCTGGTTTGTGTTTTTTTCAATTGATTTTTCCTGTCACTTATGCAGCTTTTTTCGTACTGCTGCCAAATGGGCTTAGTCAACACTGTGCTGTTCCCAGAGATGTTTTCTTGTTCAGAAGGCTGTAGACCACAGTCACAGCTTCATCAGCTCTGATGGGAATGGGGCCCCTGCTTCTCCAAGGGCTGTGCTTCCAGAGGAAGCCTGGAGTAAGCATTGAAGACTCAGGCCTTGTGGCTGGGGCACGTGCCTGCCTTCAGCTCTGTGTGACCGTTTGGCACCCTGCCAATGTGCATTTATTCCTGGGCAAATGGACCTGCTAAAAATAAGCAGGTGGAGTTTCATTCCAACAGAATCAAAATAAGCGTTGTCCCTGGCACCCGAGGGCAGGGTGCTGCCGCATCCTTCTGGGAGGCTTTTCCCTCACTGCAGGCAGGCCTGCCTCAAGTGCCCTGGCCTCAGGGGAGGGGGCGGCCTCAGTTAGCTTGTGACTCTGTAGGCTTTGGGACCTACAGGGCTCAATGCCACCTAAAATTTTTTTTTAAGTTTTTAAGCTTTTTATTCGGTGGGAGAAATGTGCAGGAGAATGAGGGCTTTATTTAGGGGAGAAAGAGAGGTCTAGAAGCTAAGTTGGGTCCATACCAATTAGAGAGCAGGCCGGGTGCCATGTGGAGCAAGCATGTAGGCAGGAAATCAGAGAGCAGGTTGGGCCACCTGCCCACGGGCCGCAGGGGCAACAAAGGCAGTAAGGGGAGGGCCCACCGTGGTCCAGGCTTTTAGTTTACTCCCAAAGAGGGAGTGGTTACATAGTCTGATTGGCAGGTAGGCATAGGATCAGGTAGGGGCATGAGATCACACAGTGGGCATGGTCTTACAGCTCACAAATCTAATTGATTTTATCCTACCTGCCTGCATGCATCATTTCCCCCTCAGAGAGATTCCAGATCTTAATCCTAAGGGTTGCTGAAGGGCATAGAAGCATCATATCTTCTATAGCTGCTTCCTGCTTATGAGGGGGCACAGCACAGGCTCTGCCTGTGCCACTTAAACTTTGAGAGGATCAGGTTAAAAAAACAAACACACCCAGGCAAGAGAGCCCTGAGTCTATGCTCAGGGAAGCAAGGAAGGTAGCAGAAACCCTTCTAAGGCTGAAGTTGTGTGTGGGTGTGAAGAAGGTTTGTGTGTAGATTTAGAAAAAAATCATCCCACACTACCTCTTATAGGCTTATCAGACCATGTAAGTCAGGGGAAATGACATCTTACCAGTCCCTAAGAAGTCTGCCTGAGGTCAGATTGGCTCACGGGTGAGGAAGTGAGGGGTGTTTTTAAATTATTTATTTGAAAGGCAGACAGATCGATTGATTGTCCTCATTCCCTGGTTCACTCTGCAAATGCCTGCCACAGCCAGGATCCAGGAACTCAATCCAGGTCTCCCACATGGGTGGCAGGGACTCAAGGATCACCTGGTGCCCCCCCCCCCCCCCAGGAGTGCATTAGTAGGAAGCTGGAATTAGGAGTAGAGCAGGAACTTGAACCCAAGCACTCCGATATGGGATGTGGACATCTCAAGTGTTGTCTTAATTGTACACTGTGGGTCTGCCTGGCCCCTAGCTGTTTTCTTCATTGCTGGAAAGCAGGGGTTGGTGGAAAGGCATCAATCACTCACCTCAGGAGCTTGGTGGGCACCCTCAGTGAGACCCAGCTAGGCTCAGCGAGTTGCAGCCAAGGCCTGAGGTGGAGCAGCTGCTGATTCCACGGGATTCTTCATAGAGGGGATGGTTCATATCTGTAACCACAGACCTCTGGTAGCAAGGGAAATATAAACCCAATTTTCTTCTCAACTCTGGGGATCTCATGCCTAGGTTCTGGAGTGGTGGTGGAGGCCTCTGGTAGGCAGTTTCTGTTCCTGGAAGCAGTCACAGAGAGAAGGGCTTTGTCCTGAGCACTCACAGCATGGCAACAGTGGCACCTGGTTCCTCAGTAGCAGGTCTCTGGCTGTAGTCCAGAGTGGGTGGTGGGGGTTGGGCAGTGGCTGGCACTGAGAATCCAAGTGAGAAATTCAGGATCCTGTGGATGAGTATTCAGCCCTAGAGCAGCTGACTTGGAAATGTTGCAGGCACTGTGCTTCCTGAGCAGTAATTCTCCACTGCAGAGCTCCAGCTGACTGTTGGGGGCTAGAGATGGTGGGGTTGGGACTTAGTGCCTGAGTCTTCAGGGACCAAGCAGAACTGGTAGCACCTGAGTCTCCAGGGACCAAGCAGAACTGGTAGGCATGGCTGGGTAAGTACAGTGATGTCCTTACCATTGAGCTACAGGGCATCAGACAGGGGTACTGCTGCCTGCATTCTGTGTGAGCCAGGACTGCAACCAGCAGCTGGAGTGGGGAGTACTTGGTGGGCTGGGTACTGGGTTTCTGTGGGACTCACCTGGGTTGCAGACCAAAGCAGACTGGAATGTGGGTTTCATTTTTGGGTCCCTTCCTGGGTGAGTGTAGCCAGCTTCTGGCATGTTGGGATGCTGAGTGGGTTAATTAGCAACTGCTGGAGAGGCGGGACCCCTGGGACCAATGTTTAGTTCCAAAGGGGCGGCACTTCTTCCAGCATATGGTGTCACAGACAGCAGTCCCTCCCTCACACACACCAATGTGAGTCTGTGGCCTGGGCCCCTGGTGTGTAAAATGGGAAGACTGCTTTCTGTGGGGTGCTGGATAGGATTCTTCTTTCTTCCTACCCTGGCACATTTCATCTTTTTCCTGAGATCAGAGAACTGCGAGAATGCAGGGGAAATCACAGCTATAAATCCTGCTGTAAAGGGATTGCCTTGTTAACCTGGATTTCACCAGGTGAAAACCTCGGTGTAGACTCCAGCTGCACCTCCTGTTAGCATGTGCTGGTTAGGTAGGAACTGATCTGACAGCCATGGATGTCTGCCTGTCCTAACCACACCCTTCTTCCTCTTTCTCTTCTCAGATTCTTCTCACTGTTTTATATGACATTGAACATGAAGCCAGTACAAAGCGAATCTCCTGAAATTTGTTAATTTTTAAGGAAAAAAATATTTATTTGAAGGCAGAATGTCAGAGAAAGAGGGAGAGGAGACAAAAAGATCTTCCTCCCACTGATTCATTCCAAATTGCCACAATGGCTGGGGCTGGTCTAGTCCAAAGCAAGGACCTAGAAACTGTCCAGGTCTCCCATGTTGCTGGCAGGGGCCTAACGACCCAGGCTGTCTTCTGCTGCTTTCTCATGCACATTAACAGGGAGTTGGATCAGAAGTTGGGATTGAACTGGCACTCTGACATGGGATGCCATCATCTCAAGCAGTGGTTTTAACCATTGCATCGTAATACTGGCCCTATGAAATTTGCTGTGTGTGTGTGTGTGTGAGAGAGAGAGAGAGAGAACGAACGAACAAGAGATTCTCAAAACTCTACCCACATTGGAATCACCTGGGTTTAAAAAACCCTCTTACCCAGGTTTCCCCCTCAGGATGCCCTGTTGGCCTTAAGCTACTGGAAACTTCCCACATGATGATAATGTAAAGCCAAGTTGGAGAACCATGTTAGAAAAATTAGAACTCTTCTCCACAACTGTAGAGCCTTCTGTATTGGAAGTTTAGAAGTGCCAAGGAGGGGCCTGCACTGTGGTGCAGCGGCTTAACACCCTGGCCTGAAGCTCCCGCATCCCATATGGGCACTGATTCTAGTCCCAGCTGCTACTCTTCTGATCCAGCTCTCTGCTATGGCCTGGGAAAGCAGTAGAAGATGGTTCAAGTCCTTGGGCCCCTGCACCCACATAGGAGACCCTGAAGAAGCTCCTGGCTTTGGATCGGCCCAGCTCCGGCTGTTGCGGCCATCTGGGGAGTGAACCAGTGGATTGAAGACCTCTCTCTCTGTCTGTACCTCTCTCTGTAACTCTTTCAAATAAATAAAATAAATCTTAAAAAAAAAAAAAAAAGAAATGCCAAGGAACCTATTAAACACTCTTAGCACTGTTAAATGAGTACAGCCAGTTTCTAGGATATGAGGCCAGTGTGTGGAAGTTTCCCCTCTTCCACAATTGGATGGTTTGGTTATGCTGTTTGTTCCCAGTTTTTCTATGGGGTTATAAGGATATAGAATCACATGCATGATTTCTAGCTTCAGTTTTCTATGTCACGGTGCTTTTTCCCTGGCAGTACATTGAGTTGGCTTCTTTCTCTATCATTGGTATGTGCACAGACTCGATGTCAGCGACTCTCCTGACAGGTTAATCTTGGTTTTATTTCACATGATTTCCCAGTGGGCATTATTATGTAGAAGTCAGCCTATGCTGAGGTGTGTGGTGTTTTGTTTTAAGATTCTAGGTGTGGGATTTCTGGGTAATAGGGTATGGTCATAAAGTTTTAAACAACATTATTAAAGCTCTCCAAAAAGATAATGTGAACTTTTATTGGCCCATATTGCCTCTTCCTCACAGATCTACCTATTTGTGGATTCTAGATTTAATGTGGACTAAAATTTGAGTTTCTGTGTCTTGGTTCCACAACCTTGAGTAGTCCTAACCTTTAGATAGGAATACTTGTAGAACCAGGTGGATACAAAAGCAAAGCATCTAGCAAGAGTGGGTTGTGTGGCCGGCGCCGTGGCTCAATAGGCTAATCCTCCACCTCTGGCGCCGGCACACCAGGTTCTAGTTCCAGTCGGGGCGCCGGATTCTGTCCCGGTTGCCCCTCTTCCAGACCAGCTCTCTGCTATGGCCCGGGAGTGCAGTGGATGATGGCCCAGGTGCTTGGGCCCTGCACCCCATGGGAGACCAGGAGAAGCACCTGGCTCCTGGCTTCGGATCCGTGCAATGCACTGGCTGCGGCAGCCACTGGAGGGTGAACCAATGCCAAAAAGGAAGACCTTTCACTCTCTCTCACTGTCCACTCTGCCTGTCAGAAAAAAAAAACAAAAACAAAAACAGGTTGTGTGGGTTGGATACATTGTCACTTTCTGCCTGGAGAGGTTGCTACAAAGTTAACCCTGGACATTGCTTAGCTCTGCCCTGTACTTTAAAGCTAATTGCCTCATCTTCGAATATTAGCAAGAACATTTGTCTTTAACGGAGGAGGAATTTAGGCTCTCCTACCCCCATCACTGTGGGAGCAGAGTACCTCTAGCATTGCTTCACAGACTGTTATGTGCCTATGAGTTCCCTGGGGGAGGGCTTGTTAAGATGCAGATCTGGTCCTGTTTGCTGTAACTCGTGTCTAGCAGGTTCCTGGTCATGTTCAGCACTGTTGTGGATGGCACTGTTCTGAAGCGGCAGTTCCCAGTCTATTCTGCAGGACAATAGAACCGTGTGGGGAGCTGGTGAAAGAACTGATGCCCTCGTTTTGCTGGAGAACCAGTAAAAGCTGTTAGAGCGTTTGCATTTATAATCTCTACAACACTCCAACCCAAATAAGGTGTGATTCACCATATCAGTTGGAAGATTTTTGGTTTTAGGAAGACATAATTTTTGCAAACTAATATAAAATCTGCTGGTCAGGGAGGTACTAGATATAAATTAAACTATTCAATGCCTTTAATGAGGGCTAACCCTGCTTTGCAGAGCACTTAATGTACATATCTCAGCTTATCCTTAGGGCAGCCATTAAGAGTTGGGTCCCTCGTGTCCCTCTCTTATGGAAGAAAACTGAGTTTCCTATCACCTTTACACATCTGCTGCCTTCCTGGGCCCTTTCCATTTCTCCTTGCTTGGTCTGTGTTATCCTGCCCTGGAGTCACCTTCTGGAAACAGTTTGGTACGTGCTTTGCATATCTGTGCTGGTTCTGCTGTCTACAGGATAAACCCACACTACACTGGAGTCCTAGGACACCCTCATCAGTGCTGATAAACGTGAATTCTGCCCATGTCACGTGGATCTTACCATGACTGTGTGTGGTGTTGTTCCCTCACCTTACCTTCTGGCCATCTATTGCTGTGTAACGGACCACTGTTTCATTGACTTGTGATTTTTTGGAGACCTGTTGTGGGAATTTAGAGAACTAAGCCACACTAAGCCTAACCAGTCCTTTTGGAGAGACATAGGGAGAAAATGGCATTGTGAAGTGAAGGGAGGGGTTTGGGCTAAAGAAGAGAGTGCTTAGTTTGTTTCAAAGGAGTGTGTGTGAATGAAAGCAGAGTGGGGATGCATTTCCTGGCCACTCACCCCAGGGGATCACCAAAGGGTGTGAGTGGGTGCAAGAGTAGACCTCCCTGACTTGGGCCAGGGATGGAGAGAACGAGATAGCTGGGCTTCACATGCAGTCATGAGTATCCTCTTACTTGGCTCCTGTAACATCCCTTCTCCCCCTCTCCCCTGCTCTTCCCAGGTTTAATTATCTCCAGCCTCCAGGATGGCAATCCAGTTGCGCTCACTCTTCCCCTTGGCGTTGCCTGGGATGCTGGCACTCCTCGGCTGGTGGTGGTTTTTCTCTCGTAAAAAAGAGCAAGTCAGCAGCCATGATAGGCAGGCAGAGGCTGGTGCTGTGGAGCTGAGGGCTGACCCTGCCATCCAGGAGCCACTCCCCATGGAAGAGGCCTGTCCCAGAGTTGTGTCCACATCCCCCAGTGTCACTCTGCCGCCGGAAAAGGAACTGAGTAAACCTGTGGAGCCCCCAGCCTTGCTGCGGACGCACCCAACCAGGCGTCGATCAGAGTCCTCGGGCAGCCTTCCGAACGCCACAGATGCCAGATCGCAGCCAGGAACCTGCAAAGGTGACGGTGCAAAGGTGGAACTCGCCCTAATGGGTGATGAGGCCAAATCGATTCCTCCAGAATGTCCTCTTCCATCCCCAAAGGGTGTGCAGTTCCCCCATGAAGCAGCTGAGGTGTGTAAACGGGAGTCCGTTCTCAGCAAGGCACCTGGGAAGGGCTGGCCTGACCAATCTATGGCCTCCACAGAAAAGCATGGGCCTGGGGAGAGGGCCAGAGAAACAGGTGGGACCGAAGGGACCGGTGATGCAGTGTTGGGGGAAAATGTTCTGGAAGAAGGCCTGCTGTCTCACGAGCACGTCTCCGAGTTGGAGAGCTGCAAGGCCCCCGGCCTGGCCCCCTTAGGAGGAGGCGGGGAGAAGGGGAAGAGCAGCCTGCCCCAGGTGCTTGTGCCCCTGGAAAAGGAAGAATGCGCAGCAGGGAAGTTGTTAAGTAGCTTCGTGGAGTCAGCTCCCATGGAGCTGGGCAAGGATGATGAGATGCCAGCATCCCGGGTCAGAGGTGGCAAAGTCTGGGACAGAGACCTCATGGGAGAACTGGGCAAAGAGGAGACTGAGGATAAAAATGAGAAGATTGAGCAGGCTGCCTTCCAGATAATCTCCCAAGTGATCTTGGAAGCAACTGAAGAGGTGCTGGCCACCACGGTGGGCAAGATTGCAGATCGCATTTATCAGGCCTCGGCCGCTCAGCTCCAGGGGCAAAAGGACGAGGGCTGTGCTCCTGTCAGCCAGAAAACTGTCCTAGGGCAAGAGGCTGCAGAGCCCACCCTGGCCTCAGTGGAGGCAGCTGCCGAACCATCAGACACTGCGTTGCCCTTGCCAGGCCTGCCAGCTGAAGACTTGCCAACCCCAAAGACCTATGTGAGCTGCCTGAGCAGCCCTCTGTCCAGCCCCAGCAAGGATGGCAAGCCAAAGAACTCTGCACACCACATCTCCCTGGCCCCCTGCCCAGCACTGGCTGCCTCCCTGGGAGGGGTGCAGGATGATGCCTGCATCCTGGTGGAAGATACTGTGTGTGACACCTGCATGTCGGATGATGGCCAGGGCTGTTCAGTGGCTTCAGTGACTTCTTCGGGGCAGTGCTCAGAGTCTGTCAGCACTTCTGGGCTCGGAGACTCTTGCACAGAGACCACCTCCAGCCCCAGGGACAAAGCCATCACCCCACCGCTGAAAGAAAGTACTGTGCCCTTCAGCAATGGGGTGCTGAAGGGGGAGTTGTCAGACTTGGGGGCTGAGGATGGATGGACCATGGATGCAGAAGCAGATCATTCGGGAGGTAGGAGGGTCTTGGGTGATCACTTAGAGGATCGGGGGTCTCCCTTTGTTTGTTAGGGAACGGCTGCTGGTCCACCTCTCTCTTCTGCCACTTCTACATAAGGTAAGGGCACTCTTCTACCCTGAATCCCAGCCAGCCTGCAGAGTCAGGCACTGCAGAGCACTGGCGGGTAACTGAGGAGTTAGCTGCCCTGTGACCCACAAAGCCATGGGAACTATCACTTGGTAGTTCACCAGTGACCCTCTCCAGGCGTCGGCCTATCAGAAGGAACCAGCTCAAGGTTGGGTTCATTGATCCACCTTACTGTGCCTCTAGTACGCACTGACCTCTCTATTGAAGAGGCCTGCTTAGGGTCATTCCCCTTGAGCACCAAGGATAGGTGTGTGCTTTGTTACAGTTGTTCTCCTTTTAATCATGTGCTTGTTCCCATGTCTTCACCCACTTTCCTCCTCCAGAAGTTCATTCAGGGTAAGTGCCCAGAGAAAGCTTGGGGTACTTGTGGGAGGCTCAAGTTTTTCTGAGTGATTGCTGGTACTATTCCTTTGCAGAGAGCCTCTGCCATTTTCTGCGCAGCTGGGAAAGTGGGGGCACCTTGGTAATGAAGCGTCTGCTAGGTTTTTCGGGTGCTGACTCCAGTGTAGACAGTTCAGAGAGCTCACAGACAGATCAGCAGCTGTGACCCTACTTTGCAGCCACCCTGGAGTGTTCTGATTTCTCGGGAAAGGCCGGGGTGACCCTACAGAGCTCTTGGACTTATTGGTCTTGGATCCTTCTCTCCCACTTCAACAAAGAAGGTTAGAGATCTATCTTGGGAGTTTTACTACTTTTGACAGCACTTGGAGTGTACTCCATGGTACATTTTGTCACCTCTAAGAAGCTATAGATTAAGGTGTTGTTTTATCTAAAAGAAAAAACTGCCAATCATGATTATAGAAGACCAATACTGTAAGATGCATCCTAACGTCAGGGATGTTTTAAAAAAAATTGCATCTTAAAATGGGTAGAGAAAACTTTAAGAAATAAAGGTGTTTTCCTTTGTCTGCTGCCCCTCAGCGTTATCAACAAGCCCTTAGCCTTGCATCCTGACTCTAGGGTGACTGTGGAAGCAACTCAGATGGCTTGAAGGCTTCTGAGTTTAGGCTTTGCCGAAGGGAAGGCTGTAACTGAGGCTAAATGATGGGCAAGGGAGGCTTAGGAGTGGTCAATCAGAGCCTGGTATGGTATCCACTGAGCTGAGCCCCAGGCTTATGCCCCACATGCATTCTCACAATAGCGACAGAGTCTGGAGTTGTATAGGAGAGAGTCCCCTTAGTCTGTTCTGCATCTGGCAGGCTTGCCGTGCTGCCTTCTTGTTCAAGGGGTAGCTTTCCCTGCATGGGCTGTCCTGAGCTCCTAGTGTTGAGAGATCACTTGGATCTGACTCTTTAGCTGGGAGCAGAATCTGCTTAAGCCTTAGTCCTCTATGTCCAGATTGTGCATGGATTGTTTGGCAAAGGATTAGGCCTAGAGTTTGGGAAAACCATGTGGAAGAGAAACTAATTAACAGATACTCAGGAGTGATTTGTTTCTGGTGATTGAGCTGTCCATATTTAAGTCAGAGCTGCTTCTCTTGGGGGCGGGGTGTCTCTGGACCCCTGCTGTGGTCCCTTAGGCAATCTCTTGAACAAAAAGGAACAAAGGTTGGTGCTTCCCACTGTCTTTTTGGGAATGAACTTTAGTGCGGCCTTTTGACCAGGGGGTATTGGAGCAAGCCTCAAAGAGTATTCAGATTTGCACAAGTCTGGCCTAAGACAAGGGCAAGAAAGCCCACTCTCCTTCATCTGGCTGGCCACTGAGCAGAGCCTTGGGCAGGGATAAGCTTGGGCCCCTGAGGCACTGAGGACTTGCTCTGCTTGGCATTTGGGAGCCCCTGTGTCTTGGAAAAACAACCCTGGGTTTGAGGGGCTGGGAAAATTGAAAGTGTTGTAAGAATGGGCCAACTTTTGGGACAGTACCGACCTCTGAACCACTCCCTCCTTGTCCTTTGGACTCCCCTCCATGGGCCTGGAGGCCGCTTCTTCCCAGTTCACCACTTGTGTCTGCTCCAGCAGCTGTGGCTGGGCGTGGCTGCCAACTGAACAAGTGGGACTGTAAGACACAGGCTAAAATTAGGTGTCTGGACACCCCCAGTCCTCTTTCATTGGGGTGGTTCTGAGCCTTCTAGACTGAGTTGACAGTCACCTGCCAAGTTTTGTTGGGTTGGGACTCTGGGCTTGAGAATTCCGGGAGGTTCTGAGGCATTGGCTGCTCTGAGCTGGGCTGTGCGTGTGCGTGTGCTGCTTCCTTCGCGCAGGTTCTGACGGGAACAGCATGGATTCAGCTGATAGCTGCTGCAGCCTCCAGAGGACTGACAGTTCGCACAACGCCCAGGCAGGCTGCAACCCTAACAAAGTTGACCTCATCGTCTGGGAGATCGAGGTGCCAAAGGTAAGGGTGCGGCATCCCTGTAGGCTGAGTTGGGACAGACTCAGTTCCCTGGCCTAGGGCCACCAGACTTTGGAGGAGGTGGTGGCAGGGCCTGTCAGAAGGAGTCCCTGAGGGAGCCAGAGGTGAAGGGAGAGGGAACACTGCACTTTGCCCAGGATCAGGGAGCAGCCTGCTGGAGCTCCTTACTCTTGTACCCCTGAGATTTGCAGCCTGCTCTCTCCCCTGGGACCCTGTGAGTTCTGGGGCTCAGATGTGTTTGGAAACACATACTAGCAAAGATCCAGGCTGAGGACATGGGACCCCAACCCCTTCACTGTGCTCTGGCCAATCTCTAGTGCAAAGTGTGTTATAATGCAGCGAAGCATAAATCCATATTTTAAAGGGCTTGAAAAGAGTAGAAATATATGAAGAAAATAAGAACTGGTTCTAATCCCACCCCCTGAGAGTGACTATGAAGACTTTTATTTCTTTCTTGTCTTGCACCCTGTGGTTTTTAAACAAAACTGAGATTATGTTGTTTTAATTAATACTTTTAAATATTTAACAATTTAATTTTCCAGTTATTCTTTGAAAATGTAATTTTAACTGCATTATTCATTGTGTGAATGTCAGTTTGCTTCACTAGTCCCCAATTCCAGAGCTCTTAAATGGTTGCTAGCTTCTTGCCGTTCTAAAGGCACAACTTACTACTTTGGTTTGATGTTTATCTCTGGGGCTCAGGAGTAATGGGCAGCCTGCATTCTCCTGGGACACTTGTCTCCTGGGTCAGGATGGCTGTTTGGACCTTGGGCTGCCGTCTCTCTTGGTGGTTTCCTCCTCTGCTGACCCTGTTAGCAACCCTGTCCTCTTCTCTCCCAGTGCTTACCAAGGGCTCAAGGAGACTCCTTTGGGTGAGGAGGGAATGGTGTCCTTAGGAGCTTTGCTGAGGTGGGAGCTTTCTTACATCATGGCTGAGTTTTGCTGCTGCTGGCTGTCTTGCCCTGTAGCTCACAGGGTGCTTGTGCGTGCCTCCGGCTGTGAAGGCCCCAGCCTGATACCCCTGGGCAGCGGGAGCCCAAGGGTGCCTCTTCAGCTGAGCCCCTGTATCTTTGGACCTGACTAGGCTCGGAGGAGGGCTAGGAGGAATCGCACTCAACCCTTGTGATGTTAAAACTTCTCAGTGTGGATTTTGGAGAAGAGACACTGCCTTGCAACTTTCTGGGTCTGGGCCATGTTTTTAGGGGTGAAGTGAGAACTGCTTTGTTGAAGTGCTGATCAGCTTTTTGACCTTGGGTAGGTTCTGTAGCCTCTCAGGGCTATAAAGTTATGTTTCTAAATTCTGACACATGAACAGTTAACATGTTTGAGCTTGACCTCCTGTAAAGCAAAAGCAGGTCTCTAGGAGTAAAGGGAATTGGTTAACCCTCTCATCTCTCAACTCTTTCTCTCTTTCTGGAAGCACTTAGTTGGCCGACTAATTGGCAAGCAGGGGCGTTATGTGAGTTTCCTGAAGCAAACATCTGGTGCCAAAATCTACATCTCCACCCTGCCCTACACCCAGAACATCCAGATCTGCCACATAGAAGGTCAGTGGTAGCTGCTGCCCTGTTTTCTTACCTGCAATGTAAGCAAATGGAAATGTTGCAGTCCCAACTACGCTCCTTTTGGAATCTGAGTCCCTACATAGAAACCCCTGCCCCTCATCCCTGGTCAAAGGACCCATGGTATTTTCTCTCAGCCCCTTCCCCAGTTCAGGGGCTTCAGTGACTTAGGTCCTTTCCCACCAGATCTCTAGTTGATGAGGGCCAGGCCTTTTTCTATTTGCCAGCCTCCAGTTGCATTCAAAGCAGGACCGAAACAGCAGAGGTGTATCTTTTTTTTTTTTTTTTTTAATCAAGGACATGTTAGACAGTGAGAGAGAGACACGGAGAAAAGTCTTCCTTCAGTTGGTTCACCCCCCACCCCCAATGGCTGCTATGGCCCGCGCGCTGCGCCGATCTGAAGCCAGGAGCCAGGTGCTTCCTCCTGGTCTCCCATGGGGTGCAGGGCCCAAAGACTTGGGCCATCTTCCACTGCCTCCAGGGCCACAGCAGAGAGCTGGACTGGAAGAGGAGCAACCGGGACAGAATCCGGCACCCCAACCAGGACTAGAACCCAGGGTGCTGGCGCCGCAGGCAGAGGATTAGCCAAGTGAGCCCTGGCACCAGCCAAGAGGTGTATCATTTGAGATGTGAATGAGTTTGGGGGCCTTTCTTCCTTAAAGATGCCCTTGAGTTCAGAAGAAGTCCTGTGGAACGGAGTGGGGGGAATATGTGCGCCTTTGTTTCTGCTGTGATTTTCCTCTTACCTGCAGAGGTCATGTGTCCCACCTCCACCTCCCTCTAGGTTCTCAGCATCATGTTGACAAAGCATTGAACTTGATTGGAAAGAAGTTCAAGGAACTGAACCTCACCAATATCTACGCTCCCCCATTGCCTTCTCTTGCACTACCTTCTCTACCAGTGACGTCTTGGGTAAGCATCTCCTGGGGGGGCAGAACTTTGCCTGCCCCTTCTCTCTACAGAACTCCATATAAGAAACTTCCCCAGTTGGAGCCCAGGGTAAAATTACTTCCTCTGCTCAACCCATGTTCTCTTGGTAGGGGGCCAAGTGCTGACAGGAAGCCAGAGGCCTCTTGATCTCTATGTAGGAGGACCACTCTGCCCTGGCACTGCCACCTGGACACCTTGTGGGTCATGTAGGCATTAGCCTAGAAAGGGTCATGGTTCAGCCAGGAGACTGGTCTGAAGCTCCTTGAAGATGGTATTTTATCATTGCTCACCACCTGAGGCCTGGGTTGCACCTGCTGTGGATTTGGATGGGGCTGTGCTAAGTCCTTTGTTCCTTTCTCCTAGTTGAGTCTAGTGGTAGCCCTGGTTCTTCCCTCTCCCTGGCTAATTAGATTATATTTCATAAATAAGAGGGTACTTCAAATAGTTCATGGGAAAATGGAAGTAAAAGATGAGTTTAGGGATGAGTGTTGTGGTGCAGCTATTAAGCTTCTTTGGAGATCTGCCTCCTGAGTTGTGTTTTTGTTTTTGTTTAAAGATTTTTATTTATTTGAGAGGCAGAGTTCAGACAGAGAGGGAAAGACAGAGAAAGGTCTTCCTTCCATTGGTTCACTCCCCAAATGGCCGCAACAGCTGGAGTTGTGCTGATCCAAAGCTAGGAGCCAGGTGCTTCTTCCTGGTCTCCCAAACGGGTGCAGGGGCCCAAGCACTTGGGCCATCCTCCACTGCCCTCCCAGGCCACAGCCGACAGCTGGATTGGAAGAAGAGCAGCTGGGACTAGAACTGGCACCCATATGGGATGTTGGTACCTCAGGCAGAGGATTAACCCACTGCACCACAGCACTGGCCCCCTAGAGTATCAGAGTTTGAGTTCTGTCTTCACTTTGGGGTCAGCTTTGTGCCAGTGTGCACCCTGAGGGACAGCAGGTGATGGCTTAAGTATTTGTTTCCCTGCCACCCACAAGGGTGTCACAGATAGTTTGGCTCCAGGCTTTCTACTGGCACAGCCCTGGCTGTTTTGGGAATTTGGAGAGAGAACCAGCTGATGGAAAATCTCTCACTCCTATTGCTCTGCCTTTCAGATAAATGGAAGAAAAAATTTTAAGTTTGGTACAAAAATGTTTAAATCTACACAGGTAAGGGATCTCCAAACATTTGTGAAATTGCTAATTGAAAAAGAACTAAATATGGACTTCAGACTTTTTTCTGCATGAAATAATCATTTTTCTTTGTGTTGCTGAGAACCTTTTGAAGTACCCTCAGAGTTCTCCCTCAGGTCCAGAAGCTGTGTCTCTATAGCGTTGACCTGGGAGCGTGGCAGGACCAGGGGCCTGCATCTTGAGGGCCCCTGCGTGCTGGTGCTGCGGGATGTTTGGGGCCTGTCATCTCATCTGGCCCCGGTCCAGCCCCTCTCACTGAGAAGTGCAGCGTTCTATGGGCCAAAGATTGTTTCCTGCAGTTCTCTAAAATGGGCTGGGCCTGCTGCTCCAAGAAGACCTCCCTTGGGTTTGGTATAGGCTGAGACATGGCAGTTCTGTCTTCCTCTAGGAAGACCCTTGTGCTGTAGGGAAGGGGCAGGGAACCCTTTTTGCTTTCTGGGAGTATTTGCTCCATGCTTTATTCTCAAGTCACAGTTTTGTTTCCAGGAGGCCTGGCTCAAACCTTCATATTAAGTAACGAAGGGTTTTGTGTAGTCTTCCTTCCCTTCCTGCTCCCTCACTGTGGAGGTCATCTGGAGACACACACTTCCAGAGCCTTGAGCTGACAGAGGAGCATGGAGGCCAGGACTCTTTGCTGGGAGCCTCTCTTCTTGTAGACAGCTGGCTGGAAGGTAGAACAGACTCTGTGTTGGCCCAAGCACCCCACATGTTGTCTGTAGCTGGGCATGGGGAAAACTGCTGTTGAGGAATAAGGCTTTTAGAGACAATGTGGGGGTTCCTCCAGGGCCTTAATATAGGATGTGCCTGCTGAGTCCCAAAGTGACAGTGAGCTGAGGAATGTCTGGAATGTAGGGAAGAAGAGGTGACAAGAAGCTGCACAAAGAGCAACTAGGACTCAGACCCTAAAAGTGGACCTGTCGTTAGGAATGCAGACTAGAGACTGTCAGGCCCTGGGCTTCTAGGGTCAGCTGCTGGTCCTGAGGGGCCTGGGCTGGCTGCCTTTTATCCCCCGGCACCTCGTTCTCATCATTGCTTCATTCTGTTTACCTCCCTGAGTCTTAGAGACTCATCAAGGAGGTGGGAGGGAGGGAAACCTCTGGCAGAAAGATTCTATCGAGACCTGTGTGAGGCCCAGTACCACATTCACAGTGGGCTATTGGATGCCCAGAACCTCCCTGCACTGCCTTGGGGTGACACTCCTCCTAAAGGCCACTCTTGGTATTGCAGGACAGTGGGCCTCTGGCTAACTAGCTCGTGGTGGCTGCCATCTGGGTGCTGTGTTGTCTTGGGTTGCTCTACCTTTCAAGGATGTGCCAATTCAGAGACTTGTCCTGGGGCCTCGGGGCTTAAAGGTTGTCACAGTGCCTGCTGCCCCTCCCCTTTACAGCTCATGCTGCCTGATGGCGTCACTGTGGAGGTCATCGTGGTCAACCAGGTCAACGCGGGGCACCTGTTTGTGCAGCAGCACACACACCCTACTTTCCATGCACTGCGCAGTCTGGACCAGCAGATGTACCTCTGCTACTCTCAGCCTGGGATCCCTACCCTGCCCACCCCAGTGGAAAGTAAGTGCTGTCCTGGGGCCTGGCGGGGGGGGGGGGGGGGGGTCTCAGGCTCTGGCCAGGCCATGGGGGAATCCTTGAGGGCTGCATGTCTTGTCCTTGTTCTTGGTGAGGAGGAAGTTATTCTGAGACCCATCATGGGCAGGGCATCCCTGAATTCTTGCCAATGTTATGGAGTGGTGCTGGGCTGAGTTTCCTCCATCTAGCTAATGGCCAGCAGGCCAAGCTGCTGTTTCCATTGGTTGAGCAGTGTTTTGATGCATGGATTCAAATCTCAGTCTTGCCACTTAGAATCTGTTAAATGGGTGAACTACTTGTTCTGGGAATTAAGGTTGGCCACTCTATGTGGCCAACACTTGATGCATATACTGGTTTCTTTAAAAGATCCTCAGCCCAACAAGCCTGTGTGGTAGCTTGGGTCATGTCCATTTAGCATGTGAGGACACTAAGCCTCTGCAATCCAGTGACTTGCCCAGGTGACATTGGAGCAGGAGCTGGGATCCAAAACTAGTCCAACTCCTAAGGCTGTCCTTTGTCACCTGTCCTTTATCATCCTGTCTGTGGGTTTTGAACATCTCTCCACCCACCCTCATCAAGGTTCCTATCCTGGGTCTCCCAGTGGGCTTCAAGGCATCAGGGAACCTTTTGAAATTATAGCATTTTTTTTGTGGTTTTTCCCTTTTGGAAGCATAAGGATTTAGTTTTTATCAGAAAACTTAAAATTGGTTCAACTTAGCAGTAAAGATTGAACCAGAGTCCAAGAGGCATCTGTATTAAGGGCTCCCTTGATGGGGTAGGACCCAGTGTAGCCAGCTCCATGTCCCAGATCCTCATCCCTGATGTCCCAGAGCAGTTGCAAGGGGTGCACTGGGGACTCTTACCCATGGTTTGCCCCAGGGTAGGGATGTGTGGCCCTGTGACACACAGCCTTATGCTCTGAGCACCGTCCTGAGGCAAAGACTTCTTAGAAGACCTGGCTGTCACTGGCCTGAGAGTCCCTTGAGTCTCTCCATTGAGATCTATACTCAGGAATGTAAGTCAGGGTCCGGCACCTGAGTTCTGTATTTCCTTGGTTTGTTCTGGCTAATCTGTGTCCCATTTCAGAGCAATGGGTCTAGACAGAAATGCTTTTCCAGCTACACACACAGCTGGGCACACAGCTAGGCTGAGTTCCTATGTCTGGTTCTTCCTTGGATCATCTTGGCTGTGGGGAGACTTTGTTGGAGGTGCATTGCCATTCCTGCCCCTCCCCATGGAGTGCAGGCCTCTGAATAAGAGCTCAGGGAGGTGGTCAGCAGTGGTTGGGGCGGACCAGCCCTGGGCCAAGTGAGTTCATACCCTCCTTCCTCCTGCCCTGCAGTAACAGTCATCTGTGCGGCCCCGGGCCTGGATGGGGCCTGGTGGCGAGCCCAGGTGGTCGCCTCCTACGAGGAGACCAATGAAGTCGAGATTCGCTACGTGGACTATGGTGGCTATAAGAGAGTGAAAGTGGACGTGCTCCGGCAAATCAGGTGAGTGCAGACTCCCCAGTCAGGCACGTGCCCTGCTTGTTGGAGGATCTGTGGCTTGGGACACACTCATCCTGCTGCCCTACTACTTTAGCAGAACTCTTAAAAAACAAACTCCATTTCTTGCCTCAGCCAAGGTGGGCTAGATGGTCTGTCCCATGACAGAATCCCCCCAGGTATACATTAAAAGTGAGGTGGGATCTAATTTGGGAGTTTAATACAGGAAGTCCTGGGAGGCCAGGGTTGCTTAGGGCTGGCTGCCTGCACTAAGGTATCCAGTATGCTGTGGACTGCCATGTCATGTGCAACCTCCACTGGGTGACATTGCAGGTGTCACTGTGCTAGCAAAAGGTAAATGAACACTGGCTTGGAGTGGAGTCAGCCATCAGGTCTGTGTTAATCTCATTGTTTTCTTGCCTGTCCAGGTCTGACTTTGTGACCCTGCCATTCCAGGGAGCAGAAGTCCTTCTGGACAGCGTGATGCCCCTGTCAGGTAAAAGCTGGGGCTTCTGGCCTGGGGTGGGCCTTGGGAATAGGGCTTTTTAAGAGCCCTCCTCCTTTCCCAGACAGCTTGTGCAAACACAAGTTGCTGTCACTGTCAGAGTTTCTGATGAAATAGGCCTGGCCGGAGGCCTGAAAGCTTGAGTGAGGACGATGCTGCTGATTCATTCCTGGGGTCCACTGCTCTTGGCAAAGACCCTTCCCAGGACACTGTCCAGACCCAAAGTTGTAGGTTTGCCGTTGAAGGCAGACACTGAGGCCAGCAGCGCTACTCAGCTGGTGACACTCCTTGGTGGCACTGTGGTGATGGTATTTTCTAGGGTCTTAGAACATTGCCTAAGGGAAGAGGCCTAGCAAAGGGATCTTAGGCAAATAACTTGGCCCTGATTTTCCCCTCCAGAAAATAGGGATGGCCCCCATTTTTCAGGGTGGCTTTAAGAATTACATAAGACTAAGACAGGTGAGTGGTAGGTGGTCCCATGGCTATTTGTGGCTGAGCATTTCATATTTGTAGGTGATGGTCAGCTCAGTCCGTCCTTGCTCCCCAGCTGTGCCCTGTCTGGTCTTGTTCTTACTTCTCTAAAGCAGTAAGACATGCTGATAGACATGCTGTAGCCCACTTGGAGTGGCTGCAGGCAGAGCACGGGGGCAGCACTTCCTTTCCTCTCTTGCTTTGCCCAGCTGCCCTCTGCATTTCTATCCACTTGGATAGTCCGCCTAACACAGCTGAAATGCTGCTTCTTTCTTTCTTTCTTTAATATTTATTTTATTTATTTGAAAGAGTTAGGGAGAGGTAGAGACAGAGAGGTCTTCCATCCGCTAATTCACTCCCCAGATGGCCATAATGGCTGGAGCTGCACCAGTCCAAAGCTAGGAGCCAGGAGCTTCCTCTGGATCTCCCACATGGGTGCAGGAGGAGCCCAAGGACTTGGGCCCTCCTCTACTGCTTTCCCAGGCCACAGCAGAGAGCTGGACTGGAAGAGGAGCAGCCAGGACTAGAACTGGCGCCCATATGGGATGCCGGTGCTTCAGGCCCGGGCTTTAACCTGCTGCGCCACAGCGCCGGCCTGCTCCTTCCTTCTTAAGACCTTCATAAATACCACCTGTCTCCCATACTTACTTACTGCCTCTTGCCTTGGGTGTGTTCTCATACATAGTTCTTATAATCCAGCCGGGCAAAGTGCTGCTTCAGTGCCTGCCTTTTGTAGAGTGACTGCCCTGTCCATATCCAGCGGGCTGCCTGGCTTTGAATTCCGCCCATGCCACCCTCAGAGCTGGTTGGCCTGTGGCAGTCACCCTTTGCCTCAGTGCAGTGTCTTCTCTTAGGTCTCACTGATTTGGTGGAAGGACACGTACAGGATACTCAGCACAGTTGGCACTCAGATGAGTGCTGCTAGTGCTGATGTTTCCAAGGAAGGTGGTTTCTGTCTTTGGAGGGTGGCTTGTGGCAGGGACCCCATGTTTTTCCAGATGAGGTCATATGGAGGCCTAGACTGTGTACCTGATGTGATGGCTCTTGCAAGTGCAGTTCTTGATTCTCATGCCACATCTGGAACATTCTACATGGGATATACCTGCAATGACTGTGTAAGTGACAAGTGTCTTGAAGGTGGGAGTCTAAATGCTGCTTTTCCTTCTCCTTCCAAAGATGATGACCATTTTTCACCTGAAGCAGATGCAGCTATGAGTGAGATGACAGGAAATACAGCACTGCTGGCTCAGGTATGTGGTGGGAGGTGGGACAGGGGCTCTCTGAGGAGTCTCTCACCTCACTTAATAGTGGCTGGGCTTCTTGCGAGCTAACCTTTTAAGTTCCTTTCTTTCTGTGTCTTGGGCATGGGCTGAGCAGCAGGATAAGGATATAGGTGTGTTCTCCCCTTGTAGGTGACAAGTTATAGTCCAACTGGCCTTCCGCTGATCCAGCTCTGGAGCGTGGCTGGAGATGAGGTAAGTTCTGCCCTTGGTTTCCATTCGAGTCTCTGGCCAGCAGCAGTGGACTGATTTGGAGCTGGTCCTGGCGGTGCTTCCTCCTGAACTCATAAGAGGATATAACTGGAGAGCAGCACTCCCCAAGGGAGACTTTGGGTGCCATGATGGGGGATAGTAGGGTGGAGTAGACGGAGGCCAGGGCTATCACGAAGGTCCTCCAATGCCCACGACAGCCCCTGTCCGTGGTGCTGAGGTGAGAAACCCTGCTCCAGACCTTTGGGGACCTTCTGTCCGTTGGGTTTCCTTCTCCTTCGTCTGTGCTATTAAAGCCCAGATTCCTTCAGCATATTAAAAGCCTGTCCTTTTGCCAAAGTGGCCAATACAACATTTCAGTGAATGCCACTATTCCCCCATCCTCCACATGCCATTCCTGTCATCTGGGATGTGGAAGGGAGGGCCCATGGCCCCAGGGTGCCGTGATGAGCAAAGTTCTCAAGGGAACTTTCTTTTCTAGGTGGTGTTGATAAACCGGTCGCTGGTGGAGCGAGGCCTTGCTCAGTGGGTGGACAGCTACTACGCAAACCTTTGACCCTGGGCCCCTACAGCCCTCTCTTGAGTCTTTTTTGCACTGTTAAATTGGGCTTGGCCCTCAAGGCAAAGGTTTAACATCAGAATAATAATTCTTGTCCTCCAGAAAGTCCTTTTCTCCCTCCCCTCCTGTAGTCCTGTTGGGAAGATGTTTAGTCTGAGAAGAAAGGGTGGAAGTGTGGGTGCTGTGCGAAGCCATGGAGTGATGTGTAACAAGCCAGTTGTCTTAGCCTGGCTGTAAGCTGTTTGGGGGAAAAACAAACAAAAAAGGGAGAAAAGTCGTCTTATCCAAGTTGTCAGCCCACCCTGCCCCTGCCCCTATTCCATTACCCCTTTCCTCCTTCCCCTCTTCTTCCCCACCACAAGCCAGACAGGCCACAGCAAGCTGGCCAAGGCTTTGTGTGTTGCTTGCTTGATAGGATTTCTTCTACTTCTCAATCTTTCTTCAGGGAGCAAGATGTGAACTGACGGTTGGGTATCAATTACTTGTACAGCTCACATAAATTAATTGATGGCATCACCAGTTTTTATACACTTTTTCTAGGGCACTAGGTACCCAGACTTTTTAAAATGCAGTCATCAGTGTGAAGTGCCGGTCATGGCTCCAGCCTTGATCACTGAGGGGTGGGCAACCAATATCTTGCCAAGCCTGATTGTCATTTATAACCATTTTCTATTTGTGCAAACTCTGTAAATATGTTTAAAAAAGTGTAATATTTTGTACGCGATACACTGGAGAACAAAGGGAACACAAGACTTTCCCATATGGTGTCATCTGGAAGTGCAAGTTAATTCTGTGGGGTGCAGCTGCCCATCCTGGCTCCTCCAGCCAGGGCTGCCCTGGCTTCCTGCACACTGGAGGGGGTGACTGTAGTGGGGACAGACAGTCCTCTGGGGATTTCTTGCTGTATAAACTTGTTAAAAAAAAAAAAAAAAGATTCATTGATAACATTGCAGTGTGGTGTGTTCAATTCTTTTTTAGACTGGCAGTGTTGTGAAAATAAATGACTTGAATAACTTAAACTTACATAAATCTTGAATTGTATTAACCATAGCTTGAGTCTTTTTTTTTTTTTTTTTTTTTTTTTTTTTTGGTAGTGAAAAAGGCTGAGAGCTGGGGAGTAACAAGGGTGGTTATGAGTGTGGTGGGTTGGGGGTTCAACCATGGGCCTCCCACAATCTATAGAAAGAAGAGCTGAGTTCTTTGCAGACCGTTTGGCTTCTGCCTAGCTTTTCCCTCTTGCCAGTGGGCAGCCCAGTTCCTCTGGCTTCCCCCACTGAATGTCTAAATAGCTGAACTTAGGTTTAAAGCCCTGGTTTCAGGGCGGGCATTGTGGCCTTGTGATGTCAGTATCCCATTATCAGAGTGCCTGGTTTGAGTCCCAGCTGCTCCATACTCTGATTCAGCTTCCTGCTAATGTGCCTGGGAGGCAGAAGATGATGCACACATACTTGGGTTTCTGCCAAGTGGGAGATTCAAGTAGAGTTCCTGGCCCCTGGCTTTGGCCTGGCCCAGTCTCAGCTGTTGTGGGTATTTGGTGAGTGAACCAACAGTTGGATGATTCTCTCTGCCTTTCAAATAATCTTTAAATAAAAGAAAAAAATCACTGGTTTCCAAATTCAACTGTGCATTCTTAATGGATCTATGAAATTATTTAACCTGATAAGAATGATATAAAAATACATACATCCAAGTGATGCCCCTCTGAAAGGTGCTGTGGCCCTGGGTACACCCGCGGTTGGTCCACGTGCTAAAAATTTTGTCCCCCTCCCCTTCTGTACTTCTAGTCCTGAGAGGCGGCAGGGTGGCGCATGTCACCAAGCCTGGATGCAGGGAGTTCCAGCCACAGGGTTCCCCTGTGCATCGTCTTCCTGACATGGGGTAGGTTCTGTAAAGGAAGGGTGGGTTAGGTGAACCCTGATGTGCTGCCAGGCTCGACTGCTGTCTCGTCTCTGCAGATGCAGCCCTTCCTTCCTGCTAATTCCCCTTCATGAGGCTGACCTGTATTTCTACAAAGCAAATGCTCTAGGCTGTTTCTTGCTGGGAATAGGTGCAGCTGGCGTCTGGTGGGGACAGAGGCATTGGAGAGGCCCTGATGCCCTGGGCAGGGAAGGTGGGTGCCTCTCTGCTGGAGGGAGGGAAGGGTTCTGGCCTTGCCCCTGCCTCCCTGGCTTGGGGACAGGCAGGAGCTCCAACTGCTCCCACTAATGTCTTTCCTCATACTGCCTACAGAGCCTCATGTGAGGGTAAACCCTGAGCCTATACGAATTACTTGCAGTTGGGCCCATGGATCTGCACGCACAGCATGTGCCTCTTCCCCCTCTCTCACGGAATGCTGGTAACTGCGAGTGAGACAAAGGCTTAGAGGTAGCAGAGGCAGGGCTTGAACCTGGGTCTCTGGGCTCCAGACTCCATGTACTGCTTTGCACACAGTGCCTCTGCTTCTCTTTAGCTGTGTGGACTAAGCACCCCTGTACTGGCAGGAGGACGCCCTGCAGGAGACAGTGTCCACAAACCTTGAAGGAAGAGAAGGCAGAGGAAAGTTGTGCAGAGGGTGAGAGGGCACATGGCAAGGGCATTGCCAGGCCTGCAGGCAGTCTGCCACTGAGATGGGGCCAGGACTATAGGTCTTGTTCATGGGCACTTGGAAAATGAGATTGCCAGGAGGCTGGCTGTATGCAGATACACCATTAACAGAAGGCCTGCCTTCTTGCAGGCATAATCCACGATTCCAGAGATTTGTGGGGATAACTGTTGAGAAAGAATCTTCCAGGGTCTCCCAGACTCACTTCCTCTGCTGTGTTGCTTATGTTTCCTACCAGAGAGTTGATCCCTCCTAACTCTACATAGTGATAACATCATAGGCCAAGGGTCATAGTCTAGGCCTCTTAAAGTTTTATTGGGGCCAGCATTGTGGTGGAGTGAGTTAAGCCACCTCCTGTGATGCTGCCATCCCAAATGGGCGCCAGTTCCCTTCTAATGTGCCTGTCTAGGAAAGCAGTGGAAGATGGCCCAAATGCTTGGACCCCTGCACCCACGTGGGAGACCTTGATGAAGCTCCTGGCTTTAGCCTGGCCCAGTCCTGGCTTGTTGCAGCCTTCTGGGGAGTGAACCAGTAGATGGAGGACTCTGTTTCTCTCACTCTCTCACTCTCACTCTCACGCTCACTCTTGACTTTAAATAAATCTTAGAAAAACCTTTTAAAAAATATTTTTTAAAACATAGCCGTGACCACTTGTTCACATTTTGTCTGTAGCTCCATTTTGTCCAGCAACTGCAGGTCTGAGTGCCTGCGAATGAGCCCCTGAGCCCTGCAAGCCCCCAGTGCTGGTCTTTTACAGACAACCCCCATGGTAAGTATCCTGTGCTGGTTCACCACCTATGTTTTTAAAATTTATTTTCATTTTATTTTAAGGCAGAGCTCTTCCATCCACTTGTTTACTCCCCAAATGCCTGGAACAGCAGGGCTGGGCCAAAGCAAAACCAGGACCCCAGACCTCCATCCAGGTCTTCAGCATGGGTGGAAGGGACCCAGGCATTTGAGCCATCGCTTGATGCCAGCAGGAAGCTGGATCAAAAGCAGAGGAGCTGGGACTCGGACCTGTCACTCGGATGTGGGTTCAGGTGTCTGAAGTGGTAACTCAACACCTGCCTCCCCTGTATGATCCAGCTAAAAGGCAACCTTAGTATTTGCTGCTGCTTTTCCTCCATGAGTCCTTTAGGCTTTGAAAATTATCGAGCTTCAAGTTCCCCACACCTCCCTGTAGTGGACAGCTCCACCTTGTAGCTCTCCCTCCTGGTAGAGCAGCCAGGCACAGCACTGTCTGCTTCCAGAGGGTGGCACGTTACCTGGGATAGGCCTGGAAGCCTGCCGCAGTGGAGACAGCTGGGAGCGGAATCTCAGTTCTGCCCTGTTGAACCCTTAACTCTGTTTGAGTGACTTGCAGGTGGTTCACATGCAATTCGAAGTTGGTGCACTGATCCAGAGCAGTGGTGTCCAACTTGGCTGCACATTTGCTGTGGTTTGGACAGGATTTGACTGCTGAACTCATGTGGGACTTCAAACCCCAAAGACATCAGTTAATGGTACTGACAGGGGAGACACTTCAAATACAGTGTTTAAGAGGTGGGCTGAGTGGAGGTCCTTAGGTCGCTGGGGGCGTGCCCTTGGAAGGTAGTGCTCAAGAGGGGGTTGGCCCAGCAGCTGCTCCGCCTCCTGGCTCACCTCGGGTTGCTTCCTCTGCACCAGTCCTGCTTCTTCCTCACCAGATTCTTACCAATGGGGCCACCCGAACTTGGACTGGAACTTCCAGAACTGTGCGCTAAATAAGCCTTATCTGTTGAGTTGGTGGCCTCAGGTATTTCATTACTGTGATGAAAAGCTGATGGATACCATATCAGACTTGCTTTGAAAGCCACTGACACCTGAGACCTAGCCTCAGCCATGCAGATTTCACTGGTTTGGGTTGCAGCCTGGGTATTGAGAGAGATTTTTTAAAATTACTGCCTTTGGAACATGACACACAAGGGTACATTTCTAGAATTGTAGGAGTTTTCCTTCACCCTTGTCTAGTCAATATCCTCTCAGAGAACTGTTGTTATTTTATGGCCGTGAGATTCGTTTTGCCTGTTCTGGAACTCCATGGTGACAAGAACGTCCGGTTCTCACCCTTGGATCTTGCTGCTCCCACCCACCTCTCTGTGTGAGATGGCCCGTGTCTCCCCTGTTCTCTGTTGGATGAGATGCTCTTATGGATAGACTATAGTCCATGTGCCCACAATTGGCTCATGTTCTCGGCTTCCCTTCTTAGCCTGCGGTGCACCCAGTGCTGTGACTCATGCTTGTGTATTCATTTCCCTCGGGCACACACCTCTGTGGAGAAGTCTGGATCCTGGAGTGGGCAGCTGTGGTCGCTTCCTGCTGCTGCTCTGTGAGCTTCCCCGGGAGCCTTTGGGTCGATCCGTCATGTGTTTCCGTTGCTGCCGCGAGCCCAAGCCCGCCAGACCTGTAGGTCTAGTCCTCCCCCAGACCTTCTGTTGAGGGCTTACATCTCCTCCTCATCCCTGTTAATCGGTTGCATTTGCCCTGGTCGGAGCCTTCAGTGCTGGGCTGCAGGCTGGCGCAGGCTCCTGATACAGCTCTTCTGTGCCCTCTGGGTTGTGCTGAGCAATCCAGTGGCAGGGGTTGTGGACGACTCACAGCCTCCTCTGTATCTTGAGCTTACTAACACAGGCTGATAGGCTGAAATGGTATAAGGCACGGGAAGTCCTTAGCACAGGCCCTGGAGCTTAGAGAGCACTCAGTAAATGACGCCTAAATGCAGGGACTAGAACATAATCATTGTCACACAAAATACTGCTACATCTGGAGCTGCGCCTTCCGATATGGTAGCTATTGGCCACGTAGGGCCAATGAGCCCTTGAAATGTGACTTGTCCGAGTTTAGGGTGTTGTAAAATATGCACTTAGAAGGAAAAGTATGGTGACCTGCTGAAGTATTTTGGGCATTGTGGATTAAATAAAAGATAATTCATTATACATTTTTTTCTTTTAAAATTTTTATTTTCATTTTATTTGAAAGGGAGAGAGAGAGAGAGAGAGAGAGAGGAGCCAGGCAGAGAGATCTTCCATCTACTGGTTCACACCAGCCAGGATTGGGCCGGGCCAAAGCCAGGAGCCTGGATTTTCATCTGGGCCCAAGCACTTGAGCCGTCATATGTTGTCTCGCTGGGTGCACAAGCGGCAGGAAGCTGAATTGGAAGCAGAGTAGCCAGGACTTGAACCAGCACTCCAATAAGGGATGTAGGCATCCCAAGTGGTGAGTTAACTAACCATTGTGCCAAAGATGCATGTCTGTCTTTACCTTTGAGAGTGGCTAGTGGACATGCTATGATCACACATGTGGTTCCTTGTTTCTATCGGACAGGGGATTATACCCTGTCAGTGCTTTTGAAATTAGGAAGCTCAAACCATTTGCTTCAGCCCTTACCCAGGTGCCCTTGTTAAAAATGCAGGTTGCTGG